TATTTTTATTAAATAAAATTAGTAAATGATTTTTGGTTAATTAAAAGTTTTGAGAAGTCATTTTCATTAAAGCTTCTTAAAAAAAACCCAATAATTTTATAAGACCACAAATCCCATCTTGAATTTTGTTCGTTCTTGCTTCGTTAATTTTAAATCGGAGGGAAAAATGTTAGGACCTATTTGGTTGCTCAGAAATTTTCACTGAGATTCTGTTATTTTGACCTACAATATTGTGACGTATGCGACGGTGGGTCTGCATATGCTGATTTGGTGGGAAATTTCGGGATTGGAGCTGGCAGGTTGGAAGGGGAGACGATAACACCGACGGAGAGGAGAGAGAGGTGGAGGATGGGGAGGTGGAGGGAATTGGGGGAGAGAACGAAGGCGCACTGTCCGTGGAAGAGGCCAAGCTGGGATTGAAGCGAGGCGGCAAGGAAAAATGAACTTGGGGTAGAGAATATGGTGGCCGGTGGATGCGTTGAGGAGGGCAGGAGTGGAAGGCAGGGGAGGGGAGTGGTGGAGGCGGGAGAGGAGGTAGTCGGTGAGGGAAAGAGGCGTGGTTTGGGGAGGGGGTTGGGATCTGGGTCTCAGGCTGTGGAAAGTCTTGGTCTTTGAACAAAACCCATTCTTTGGATCAATGTTGCAGCCCTTTTGTTGAGTCACCATTATTGTTTCAGTTAAAGGTTGAGGTTTCAAGATTTGAATTGGGTATGGAGGTATTAAAATAGATATTTTGGAAAATAACTGTTATAGATAATATGTGGATGAACCACTTGAATAATTCGTTATTATATATCCTAAGAAAAATCACATGAATTATATTCATATGAAGAAAAATGGATAGGTTACTATTCTTGTCTCATATTTCACTATTTATTTGAGGAAAGTTTGTAAAGTGAATAGTGTTGAATAAATAGCGGTTTTTGTTCCCTTCCAGAAATAGTATGGGTTATTTTGGTTTAGTTTTCAAAAATAGTGTGTAATTTTATTATAGTTCTATAAATAGTATGAGTTATTTTGATTCAGTTTCAGAAATAGTGTGGGTTATTTTAGTTTAATTTTGAGAAATAGTGTGTAATTTTGTTATAGTTCCAGAAATAGTGTGAATTATATTTGTTCAGTTTTAGAAGTATGAGTTATTTTGCTATAATTCCAAAATAGTGTGAGTTATTTTGGTTCAGTTTCATAAATAGTTTTGCGATAGTACTAGAAATAATGTGCGTTATTTTGGTTCAATTTCAGAAACAGTGTTGGTTATTTTGCTGTATTTTCAGAAATATTGTTTATTTTGTTTCATTACAGAAATAGTGTGTGTTATTTTGGTTTAGTTTCAGAAATAGTATGAGTTATTTTGTTGTAGTTCCATGAATAGTGTGAGTTATTTTACTGTAGTTTCAGAAATAGTGTGGGTTATTTTGGTTCTGCTTCAAATATAGTGTGGGTTCTTTTGCTGTAGTTTTACACATAGTCAGTCAGTTTAATAAATAGTGTAGTACCCGTGTCAATTTCATAAATAGTCAGTTAGTTTAATAAATATAGTGTAGTGCCTATGTCAATTTCATAAATAATGTAGTACATGTGATAGTTTCATAAATAGTCGGTCTGCTTAATAAATAGTGTATAGTACATGTGTCAGTTTTATGAATAGTTAGTCAGTTTAATAAATAGTGTAGTACCCTTGTCAATTTCATAAATGGCCAGTCAATTTAATAAATAATGCAGTATCCGTGTTAGTTTCATAAATAGTGAGTTTAATAAATAGTGTAGTACATGTGTTAGTTTCATAAATAGTCAGTCAGATTTATATATAGTGTATACATGTGTCAGTTTCATAAATAGTCAATCAATTTAATAAATTGTTTAGTACCCATGTCAGTTTCATAAATAGTGAGTTTAATAAGTAGTGTAGTACCCGTGTTAGTTTTATAAATAGTTAGTTTAAGAAACAGTCATTGTTCAATTTAACAAATAGTGATAGTTTTAATAAATAAAAACTTGTGATGGAAATAAAAATCACCAAATCCCTAGCAATTGCAGAGATTTGTACACAAAAAAATGCAGATACAGGTTATTAATCACAAATGCTGAGAAATGAATATATACGCAAATCGTCTCTAAACACTTTACGGGTACATGTATCATTAGATTCACTCATTCATACAATCTATTACCACATTCAACTCTCATACTTACAATAATTAAACTTTTAGATTCACAATTTTTTTAAAGTTGTATGGAAATAGAACAACGGAATTCCACCTACAAATCTCAAAGTTCAACGTGATAGTAAAGATGAAATGGGAATGCACATTGTGGATGCAAATTTTGTAGGCAGTTAAATTGACGAAATTCCACTTACAAAATAAAAAACACCGTTAACTTATTAATGGACACTCATAAAAGAAGAAGGGTGTTCGTCAAAGGATTTCTGCAATCTAAGTAAGAATAGTTTATAAAAGATACTCAAAAGTCATCGTCTCAACCTCCGTCGTTAATTGAAGTTAGCCGAAGAACATAGTCGTGAAAAAGGATAGGTGGGTAACTGTTATAGTTTTCCGAGTGAAAACTCGTCAACTTTAAATTTGGAATTTGAAGCTCCAATTTTTTCAAAGCCTCCTTAACTGAAATCTTGTAGAAGATTTTCCTTTTTATTTCCCTACTTAATTTTCTTATTAAACCCCTTAAATACCGTTGCTTTAAAAAAATAATGAAAGAAAACAATCAAGTATCAAAGAGTAAAATACAACTAGCAGAAAATAAAATTTACAAAGAAAAATATAAAATAGTCAAGTGACCCTTTACTACAGTGGTGGAAAGGTGTTGAGCCCTTGCATGACGCCGTTGGTTCAAACCCATTCGGTGATTAATCTAACAATTAATATAACAAAATCTGTCGTTTGACCAAATATATATATATAATAGTCGGTAAAGTTTTTTGATGACAATCTTCAAATGATTTTCAGTGTAGGTTGTTCATATCTTTATCATTCGACGATTGGTGCTGGATAACCATTTGCTATGAGGCTTTGAAAAAATAGTAAAACTATTTCGTGTTTCATTTAGTATGTTGTCCATAACTTTTTACATAGTTAATTTGGTCTTATGCAATATCTTTTAATTGATAAAAAGAGTTTTATTAATAGATAGTTTTTGAAAAATATTATCTACATTAATGGGGGTAGGCTTAGTAATGTAGATTTTACTACCTGTAAAACAAGGGTTAAACCATAGAAAATTCTTGCAAGAAAACAAGTTTTTGTAGTATAGAATAACTCAAGCAAGGTCGATCTCCTTAAGGACTGGTATAAGCAATTTACGAGTTTTTGTGTATTTAACTTAGTTAACTCTGAGAACTAGACTAATTGGACAAAAGTAAATACTACTGTATGTAACTAAAAAAAAATATCTAAAATGGGAACTTGCTTATAGAAATAGTGATCCAACTAAACAAAACAAGTAAACGTAGAAACTCAAGATAAAATAAATGATTGAAGAAAAGTAGATTGACAAGGCACTAGAATTCAACATTTACCAGCAACACTCCTACATAGGTCTTCTAATTGCTTAAGTAATCGAAAACACACATGCATTGAAGGTTGGGTTTTTACTTGTGTATGTTTTACTTGTGACATTCAAGCTAAAACGCATACCACTACATGCAATTTATCCATGACATTTGGATCAAATATAAACATGAGTGATTCATTAATCTTGGTGAAAATCCTTTTGTTAAACCATGTAATCCCTGAGAGTATGATATTTACCTTAGGAGAAATTACAATCCTCAATCACAAGAAGCATAGCCAATTTGAACGTGACATTCGTTCAAAATTGCATCCGATGATTTTTCTAAGCATCCTAATGGTGATCAAGCATCAAGGCATATAGATAGTTTAATTCAGTGATTGAAAATATCAAAACAAGCATGTAACAACACTTAAGCAATTGAAGAGAAATCTACGTAATCATATTGCGGCTCATGGCTTCACTCTAGAAAAAAAATAGTTATACATAATTATTTGAATACATAAGAAATTATCCATGAAGAATCAAATAAAGAGACAACCCTTTATTACAAGGAAGTTATCTCCTGAGCTCTCCAATCCCCTTGAAGCTGCGGCATCCATTCTGTTTTCTGCTATGTTGCTCTTTGCAATTCCCTGCTTTTCTGCTGCTCCATTCACTCTTTGCTCCCCCTGTCTCTCCGTTTCTCTTCTCCCCTCTCTGTTCCGTGTGTTGCCTTAAAAAAAGGCAATGATTTTTTTTCAAAGCACCAAGGCCACCAGTGGAAACCCCATCATTGTTGTCCCCCTTCTTTACCTTATTTTATTAGCCAATGGAGTGGGCAACCGTGCTCTCCACTTGCTCCTCTGTTTTCTTTGCTATTTTCTGCAAATTAAGTGGAATCCCTTCCTGGCAAAGCCACATGGACCGCATCTTTTATTTTCATTTAGTTTCTAGCAGCCCCACATAGCAGAAAAATAAGTCCTTTTGGCACCACAAAGTTGAGAAACTAATTTAAGATGAGACACGATGTATGCATTCAATGATTTCCATCTAGCAAGTTGGCCATTAATCAACAATGAGATGTCCTTAGAAGGGAATCACTGAAAAATTCCATCATTGCATACTTATTCACTATATTCGATCATGTTACTCCTACAAACACAATAGGTCAAAAGTATCATAAATACTTAAAGCTTCCAACTAAATTAGACAAGAAAAGAAATATAAAAGGGTGAAATATATAGTTTAAATATTGGTTTATCACTTAGCGTCACAATGTGTTAGCAATACTGTAATTTATATTTGCTTTTGACGAGAATTAAGCCTAAAACTTCTTAGGTACAAGTGAAAAAAATATCAGTACACCGTAATACTAAATGACTATTAATAAATAGTTTAGATAATACGACAATTTAAAAGAAAAAAACTGAAGGCACGTCCCTTCCCACGAACCGCACTTTTGGTTTCCCACTAAGTCCAATCGGTTGGCCCCTCTCAAAACTGTCAACAGGATTGATACAAAAGCAATTTTGTCTCCCCAAAGTTTGAAATTTTGGGTTCCATGCAGTAAATCGCAGTCACTCACAAGCATTACATATACACTCATTCACTGACAAATTGAAGAAATCTGAAGACGACGAACCAGTCAGTGGTCGCTTAAACTTCATCACTTCTGGGTTCCTACAAAAATTAGGTTGGTTTCTTCATTCCCAATATTGTTTAAACAAATTTGACTAATGGTTGTGTTTCTTTGTGGTATATACTTTAAGAGTGTGATATATATGCTTTAGTTTCCCTACACCACCAAATGACAAATATCGTTTCGGTCACAAGACTTTAAAGTTCGCACGTAAATGAAATCTCCCTCTTCTTCGTGTAAATTATTTAGTATAGTCTATCACTTGTACTAGGCAAAAAAAGTGAAGGGTGCCCAACAACTCATACACTGATTCCACAATAGGGTATATTTCAATGTGGGATTTTGGGTCCAAAATAGTCATAAAATAGGTAAGCTTTTCGTAGTGCAGTTGGGAATGTATGACAAAAAGGTAGGTTGCTTGGTGTTTATATAAATTTCCAGCCTTAGGAATAAGTAAGAAAGTTGTATGAACTACGATGGTATTGCTAAGAAGTTTTTGCTTCTAATCAAAAGCCAATATGCATCAAGCGGGGTAATTAGTTTGATTTGGTTCTTTTTTATGCGTTAGTTGATTAAAAACTTAAATTTCTCTTGATTATTAAAGGCCCATTTGAAAATGCTTCTTTAAAAAGCACTTCTACTCATAAGTATTTTTAATTTTGGTCGTTTTTAGTTTCAGTTCAAATTTTTAGCTTCCGATAGGTATTCGGCTTCTTTTTTTTCTGTTTTTGGTTTTCTGAGCCCATCCCTAGGTGTTTGTGTTAAAATTTTAAGGTATTTGATTGAATTTGTTTTAGGTTAGAATGTTTTTATTTAAAATGGCTCTTTTGGTAATAAAGGATTATTAATTAATAAAAGAGAACTTTAACGAAAAGCACCCGGTGCTGTTCACTTTAACGAAAAACCACATTTTTACACTAAAAAGTCAATCATGATACTATTCACTTTACCCTTTATTTTGTCCTTATCATTAAAACTCAAAGTTTTCAAGCCCTTTTCATTAGTTTTCCATTAATAAAATGAATCTTGTTGTGCTTTATTTGGGCATTTAAAAATTAGATTGGGCCTAGACCTTATTTCAATTGAATTAAAAAGCCCATGTTTCATCTTAGAATAAGAAAACCCTAGTCGGTGTATTAGGGCATGTTTATCACGTTGATAATTCTAAAATGTTTTATCATCTTTATCTCATCATAAATCATCTTAATCTTTAGAAATTTTAAAATTTTGAATTTTGAGTAAAAGTTTGAGTGTGCGTTAAAGTCCTCTAGTCGTGCTCGTGTGTATATAAATACACTTGTGCGGAAAGCAAAACTGGAGAGGGCTGCCGCAATGCCCTACTCGTTTAGGTGTGCGATATGAATATCATATTTGTTTGTGCCGCAAGTCACACCAACACATAGACTATGTCTCGAGCTTTAAACTGTAATCAGTTAATTGAGGTGATAGTGTGGTGCAAAGTTCATGTCTAGGAAATTGATGGTTGCGTCTGGTGTTGTGCCACATGTACACAACAGAGAATAAAAGATCGAGTAGCAAAATGTGAGGAAACAAAATTGCCTTCTTGCTGTGTGTCTAGTAAGATTGGGTTTTGTAAGTCTCCTTTCTATTATTTCCTCTTGGTTAGTGTTTGTCATGGCTTGGAATTCAAGGATTTATTTTTTTCTTTTTCCAGGTGTGAGTTTTGTCTCGTTTAAATCCTACATCTAGTGTGCATATTTATCATTTATGTTTTTCATTTTAATTGCATATGTGTAGATGATGTTTTGGTATGTGATGTGTATGTAGGAACTTACTTGAGACTTGAAATTGGCATAAAACCTTTAACTCTCCCCTTAATATAGTAAGATTCTAGAACTTCTGAAACATTACCAAAAGCGTCTTCTAAAAGTACTTTCAAATATTTCCTAAATCCCATGAGAAAAGCAAAGAAATTACTTTGAAATTAAGAAAACCAATATAGAAAAGAAGACTAAATATTGCACGCATTCAATATTCTGAAATCTATGAAATCTGTTATATTTGAATTCTTCATTTGTTGGTCCATGAGTTATGCAATTCTGTTTCTTCTTTTTATGTAGGATGTGTGGTAGATTACTTGGAGCACAAGTCGAGCGACCTTCTTATTTGATTAGATAAATATCCTCATTAAATTAAATCAAACTGGAAAGAAATTCATTAAATATCCACAATAAAACTGGCTTTAGCCAATTCAGTCCCAAAAAAAAGAAGAGAAAAAGTTGAAATTTTAGTACAAACAGTTGACCAAAATTCAGAACTAAAGGGTAACCTAGGTTGAAAAGGAAAGTCGTGAGTCATAAATTAATGGTGTGCTGCAAAGTTTCCTGCTAAGATTTTGGGCAATGATATTCGAGTTTCAAGCATGTATATATATATAAGCGGCCATACATATCTTGCGAGAATACATATATTTATATATGTACACTGGCTTTGTTTTTGCAGTGAGAAGAAAAACCTAACAACATTGAAGAGAATTAATACACAGTTATTGGTGAACTGCTAGCCTTCTACTGTGTATATAGATATACCACCTGGTATTTCTTCGATCATATATATCCTTTTTATTGTACTTTACATATTTCTCTTTGTGAATATACTAGTTATTGGGAGTAGTTGTTTTGTAAAAATTCTATAGGGCTAAATTTTGACAATTTCAATCTAATCGGTCACACAGTGGAGTAATGGGCTTTTAAATCCAGGTCAAAAAACATAGGTTGTTTTTTAGAGTCGTCAATTTATTTAATTACATGTTTTAAAACCAATTTTGTCCTTTTAGATAAAAATATTATAAAAATAAAAAACATGTAATACGATAGACGATGAACAAAAACATATTGTGTAAGTAAATAAACAATTAGACATGTGGTACAACGGATAAATTGTAATTAATCTGTAATACAGGTAAAAAATATATAAAAAAACATAGAATTAAATTAATAAAAAAATATATAATATATGTAAATAAGCAATTAATTTGAGATAAATTATCAACAAACGTTTAATATAGATAGATAAAATATAATTAATCTGTATTATAGGTAAATATACAAAAATAAACCCTAATCCTACAACTAAGAAGACTGAAAAGTTGTCAATTAAGGAACAAAAGAGGTGCAACCTCAACTAGCTTACCTTTCATGAAAGGAAGGAAAAGTTCGTTGAGATGTTGACTGCCTTCAACGACGCTGCTACCGGGAAGATGATGATGATTAGTGAAAGTAAAGAAGTCCTAAGAACATCTCCAAAGAAAATATCAAAACTACAATGTAGACATACAACAGTAAAAAATTGTAGCAAGCTCTCTTCAACCGAGCCTTCAATTTCTTACGTGGTGCTGAGTCATTTGAAGGCAAAGCCTTTTGCTGTCAAATTTGATAGTAGATGTCAAATTTATTAAATGACATTATTATTAACATATCGGGTGGAGCCAAATGTTGTACAAAATGTCAAATTCCCACACAAGCCACCAAAAATCATTTTGATGCTTAAAATTTGACGTCTTCTTTGGAAATGCTCTAATGGATCACAAATTTCATTAAATAAATAAGCCAATATTTAAGGGAATACATTGGTTATCTTATTAGTTAATTTAGGGATAGATTTGGCATAAATGTATTAATAAGCTGACATAGAATCCTAATCACCAAATTTATTTTAACAAGTGGACTAGTCTTAATAGTCGTTCACAAAATTGGACTTATATTAAGTTTTCCCATGGTTGAAATCCCCATTGTCCCGTGGTCAACACTAGTTTTTTGCCAAAGAGTTTATGCGTGTGTGTGTGTATATATATTCTTATTTATATAAAAAGTGAACTTGAGTATGATTGCCATTAATTTAGTTTAAAGTTCGAACCATACTAAGGGGATATAGACTTGATTACAAATGAAACACATTGCTCAAGCCATCTGGACTATACGCGTATGTCTACATATATGATTGAAAGAAACTTGAGTTGTTTATCTCCTTATAATATTATTGTTGTTGACACAAGGCATTGTGCACTGGGTTCACGATCTACCTGGTGATAGACCAATCCCCTCCTCATGTAGCTCTGGCACCATATAAGACGATAGCGAACTTTTGGCTTTTGGGTCAAACAGTGCGTCAAAGCAGAGCCAGTGACCTTAAGAAATGCATTCATTGGAGCTTGAACTCAAGTTGCCTAGCCTTCTCTTTTCTGCAAAAGAATGGTGAGAAAAAGAGTTTAGGTTTTTTTCATCACAAAAGTTAACCCTTCCTCACTTGGTGCCTCAATTCTAACATCAATCAATGCCATCTCTGAACTTGACTATTGCACATCAATTTGGTCCTTCATTTTGGATTCGGTTAATTATTATGTTAGTGTGTTGATGTAGTGAACATATGGAACTCACAAGTACAAACAGAATTACCAAATTGATGTGCTATACTAAAGTTCAGAGATGACATTGATCAATGTTGGAATTGTGGGACCAAATAAATATTACTCAATGATCATTCTTGTATTTTGTTTTAATAACCATTGGTTGAGTGATAGTGTAGTTGTTTATATTAATATCTCATTGCTAATTTTGTTTTGTTTTTTTTTTTTTTTTTTAAATTGAACTTTACACCATCATTTATCGAAGTAATATTTCTGGATCAGTCATTAGTTGTCGTAGTAGTTGGCTAATATGTATATGGCCTGTTCTAACTACTTTGTATTAATTTCAAAATTGCATGCAGGTGTTCCTGCAATTCCCTATCATTTGGTGCAAGAATAAAAACTCAACTATGGCTATAGTGAAAATACTTGAGAAGAAAGCAGCCAACCGTTTTCCCCCCAAGAAGCCGAGAGCTGATGCCGATAGAGATGGAACAAGTCGTACCAACGTGGAGGAGGCCTTGCAGGCATATCGAGACACACTGACTCAGATCTTGAAAGAACGCGATGTTAAATGGGAGAAGAAAACTTGCTGGAACAGGCCTGACATTGAAGCAGCGATGCGTCTTCGAAGGCAAGGGAAAAGATTTTTTATGATGAAGAAACGAATCGGACGAATTCCAGGGATTAGAGTTGGTGACGAGTTTCAGAACAGGGCTGCACTAACTGTCGTTGGCCTTCATTGCCAGTTCCGCAAGGGTATTGATTATATCAAGAACAGCAATGGGAAAATCTATGCCACAAGCATCGTTAACTCTGCCCGATATGACAACGACAGTGTAGAATCTCCGGATACCTTGATCTACTCAGGCGAAGGTGGAAATCCTGGCGTTACAGATTCAGAAAAACGACTCGAGGATCAAAAACTTGAACGTGGAAATCTTGCGCTAAGGAATAGTATGGAAGCAAAAAGTCATGTTAGGGTAGTTCGTTGCTTTAAATGCTTATCGGCCAGCAGCACTGCTTATTTTTACGATGGTCTCTACAATGTAACAGGTTGTTGGCAAAAAAGAGCGAAATTTGGCAAACTTGTTTATGTGTTTTTGCTGAGAAGAGAGCCGGGCCAACCAAAATTTGCCATCCCGCGTAGGAAAGTCTCGAGCAAGTCGATGAAGAGGCCTGCTACTCCTATCCTCTGTAAAAACGACATCTCTCAAGGGAAAGAGAAGACGCCTATTCGCGCAGTCAATAAAGTAGACAGTGATGAGAGTCCTCCATCTTTCAATTACATATCCGATACCATTTATCCAGATTTCGTCAAGAGCACCGAGACCAGACAGACAGGGTGCGATTGCAAAGATGGATGCTCTGAATCTAAGCCGTGTCCTTGCATAATGAAGAACAAAGGGGTTTTGCCATATAACGACAAGGGACGTAGGACGAATAGGAGCTCCTCCATTGTCTATGAGTGTGGTGCAGGGTGTAAGTGCTCTTCTTCATGCAAAAATAGAGTCAGCCAACGGGGAGTATGTTCCACGTTTAAACTTGAAGTGTTCAAGACTAGATCAAAAGCATGGGGTGTTAGGTCGCTCGCGTGGATTCCAAGAGATAGTTTTGTTTGTGAGTACGTCGGAGAAGTAGTAGTACTTGAGTATAACAACAATGGTTTTCAAGACGCTTCTGAGCAGCGGCAGGAGCAGAAGCAGCAGCCTTTCTGTTTTCCTCTTATGTTGTTATCATCATCGGGAGGGGAAAAGAGTAGCAGGTTGGCCGTTGATGCCGCGAAACGTGGAAATGTGGGGAGATTTGTGAATCACAGTCCGTCGCCTAATCTGTATGTCCAACGCGTCCTCTTTGATCATGGAGACCCGAGAATGCCACACATGATGTTGTTTGCTAAGAAGGACATACGACCTTGTCAAGAGCTAACCCTTGATTTTAACTGCAATGTTGTAGCGAACCAAGCTTGAAATGTAAGATGATGAAATGTCATCGTGGTCAGATCATTTATTTTTTTATTTTTTTTATTTATTTTTTTGTCAATAACGTTGAGATACTATTGAGACCCTTATTTTCAAAAGAATAGGTTAATTATTTGTATTGTTTATTTAATTATATTGTGTTGATGCACAAAACCGAAGATCTTGGAACAACGTAAATCCAACCGTGAATCTGCAAAAAATGTAAAGAACACAAGATGTATTGTGGTTCACCCCAATGTTTAGGCTACGTCCACACTGATTATTGTATTTCTCTGAGAAGATTGTGAGGGAGAGAGTTTTGCTCTGAATATGAGAGGGGATCTCAGGCCTAAGAAATTGGTCTCTCCTAATGAGGAGAGTGAGGAGTCCTTTTATAGAATAAGGGCTCCTCACTTATTACATATTTGCCCCTTCATTTATTACATAATTACATTTGAGTCATCCGAGTATTTATACGAGATCTAAATACAAAGACCCTAAGTATGGTACAAACATATTGTTTCACATTATATTATATCACTAAAAAAAACATTTCCAGACGAAAATATTTCGTCGGGTAAAATTGGTTGGCAAAAATTGTTGCTTAAATGTTTGCTCGACAAATTTTAAGTTTTTGTGGGGGACAAAATTACCAATGACAGTCTCATTGAGCCAAGTATGTTGACCAACTTGGCCGGATGCACTGGTGGAGGCATATGAGGACTAGAGTAGTCCTAGGCCTACCCTGACTTGAAAAAACAAGATTAGTATTACACCTATTTCTATTGCTTTGCAACTCTTCTCAACACTTATCTAATTATTTATCTATCTTTTCATCCAAATCCCATCCTAGAATTAAGAATAATATTTCAAATGGTCATTTATTACAAATCAATAAAACTTTTAAATTAAAACCCATCATTCACTTTTAACTAATAAAATTGTCTTTCACTCATGCACTAACAGAGCTATTCCCCATATTCTTCTTGAATTTCATATATTTAGTCATTCCAAATCCCAAATTTATTGAATAAAGAACAAATAAGGTTTGTAAAACTCTATTATTCTCTATAAAATATTTGTTTCTATTCTATCCTTCCTTACTTGAGTTTTAGGGTTTGCAAAATTTTTAGTAATTTTCTCCATTGATTTTACTAATTCTTTCAGTAGTATAGATGACATCATGCAATGGTTTTAAATATGAAATTCGTCAAGAATAATTATGATTACTATAATGCATATGTTAATTTTGACTACTTAATTATTTGGATATTTTTATGATGTTTTTGCATTCGTAATTTTATAACCACTATTTGTTTTTTTTTCTTTTTTTTTATACTTGTGTGAGGTCCCTCCTCACAAGAAATCTTGGCTCCGCCACTGGCCGGATGAATATAACGTGCAACAAGCTGGCCTCGTTTTGCATGTGCTATCGTGTTGTTCCGCGCCCACCAAGCAGGGCGTTAGGCTTTTGGGTGAATTGCATGTGAACGCGTAGAAGTATACTATTGAGTGAATATCAGTTGTTCGCGTCAGGAATTTCCGTCGGGGATGTCTCCTGGCCGACGAGCACACAGCTCCCCTGGAGGTTGGCGCCGGTTTGAGGACTGCTATCGGGCTTCTGCTTCGCTGTCGGGCGTTGTCGGGCAAGTCTCGTCGGGCAAGACTCTTCGGACAAGGCTGAAAGAGAAGGACAGCGTTAACTTTGAGATGTGCCTTTGTGGGGCCTTAGGTGTAGGCCTTGAGGCTTCCTATCAAGGTTATCATTTAGGTGCTCAGGCGTGCCACTGCCATCTTTAGCATGGCAGATGTAAAATGGATATTGCTTTAGTTGCATGTATGTATGTATCCAAGAAACCGTGTTAGTTATAACAGGTGCCTTTGTGGGGCCTTAGGTGTAGGCCATGAGGCTTCCCATCAGTAACTAAACCGGTGCTTGAACACATCATATTTGTTCTCGTGATTGCCGGAGTTTTCTAACTATTATACTTCTGATTACCCGAGTCCAAGGAGTAGAATGAACCCAAATAGGTGCCTTTGTGGGGCCTTAGATGTAGGCCTTGAGGCTTCCTATCAGAGTTCATTCCTATACTTAGACTCTTTAGATCGCTGAACGGAATGAATCCAAATGGATGCCTTTGTGGGGCCTTAGGTGTAGGCCTTGAGGCTTTCCATTAGAATCCATTCCATGCTCAAGCTTTCTATAGTAATCATGATATAATAGAAGGAAAACTAGAGGGTAGGTTGATTACTTGCGCCCCAAGTAACTTCGGACTTCTCGTTTATCAAGGACTGTCGTGGATAGGTTAAGTCCACATAAGATTCTTTTTTATGCCTTGAGGCCAAGGACTTTTAACTGATCAGATTTACATGCCCGAGGGCTTAGAACTTGGATCTGGTTTGAACACTGACGATATATTTAAATCGGATTCAAGTACTGAGAAAACCTTTTAATAGTCATATTGCTAGAAATAACTTGCATATAACTGGAAGTATACAACATATTGAAAAGACAAAAACAAAGCAAAGAAGGTCGGGCAAGGTTAAACCTTATCGAGTAAGGTTGCTCGTCTTGCAGGTTCCTATCTTTGTAGTTTTGTCAAAGGTCTGAAAGCTTAGAGGGAGAGAGAGAGATTACAAAAAGATGAATCGATACTGCAAGGTTGAACAAGGTAGCAGAGCTATTATAAAGGGTTGAAGAAAGAGTTATCCCGCGGGGGATGAAGGCTTGTCCCGAAAGGGATGAAGGCTGACTACAGCTTTGTTTTGAAGGCAAATCTGGTTTTGAGCAGAGTTTTTGCTTTTGTTGGTTTGTTTGAGTGTCTCTATTCCTGGTTTCTCCTTCTTCTTATATAGACAACTTGGCTTGGCTTCCTGTAGCAGCGGCCTTGCCCGAATGCGGTTTGAGGGTGATGACTCATCGGCTTTTTTACATGGACTGCCATCATAAAGTACTTTATGGGCTGTGTAGCTGATCAGTCTATACCACTTGGCCTTTGGGTAGGTAAGCAAGTGGTCTTCATGAGCTGCACCAAGTCAGAAAAGGCCCTTTCTGCCTTCTGGGCTTCGATTGGGCTTCGACTATCTTCCCTTTGGGCCTCCTTTCGGGCCAGCTCATTTCTTGAGCCCAAAGTTAACTTTTAATCCAAACAGCAATGTCAGTTATACTTTGCCCATAGCGGTGAATAGTAACATTTGGCACGGTTCGTGCCTTGCCTTTCTCATGCCTTTTCCAAGCTTTGGCATGACATGTTTAATTGAGCCTTGCCTTTGTCATGTCGTGCTTGTTCTCGTCTAACCTTCATAAAAATGTACAACTGCATGTAAAGGCACATTGAAGGGAAGGCACGAACAAGTGTTTGATTCCATGTATGCCCAAAGCATAACATTCCTTACAAAAGCACAATATTTTTTGAACCACAAACAAGCATGTGACACCATGATATGCCTGGGTTTAGCGGAAAAAAGCAAAAAAATAGATAAATAAATTGAAGTGTAACTCTCACTTTACTGATGATGTGGTTCATTGACTGGATGATGGTTGTGCACCCGTATGGTCCCAACCTTTCTCTATTCCAATTTATTTTTTTTATTTTTTGTTTTTTTTTCCTTTGAGTTTTTTCTTCTTACTTTTTTTGAATTTAAGTAACCACTATTACATTTAAATTATCTTTAAATGTAGCTTTTAAATCGTTAATTTTAAGTGTTTAAATATGAATTATAATAATTTTGCATAGAAAATATATTTTGAAGAACATGAATATGATAGTTTGTTGTTATGATAAGAGAAATAAAAGCAAAACAAACAAAAAAACAAAAAAATTGAAATGGTAGGATCGGTATGAAGCTAGCGACTTGTAGAGGATTTTCGCTACTTTGCTAGCGACGTTACCTGCGTACAGTCGCTAGCAAACTTCGATGTAACTTTTTTATTTATTTATTTATTTTTTGATACAAAGGGTAACTTTTTTATTTATTTTCTGCTTTATTCTTGTTTCATTGAATTTTTTTTTCTGTCTACGTTACTTTGTTTAGATTCATACACCTCTAGATTTAAAATTTTACTTTATTTAGATTCATATACCTCTAGAGGGGTGTCATTCTGTATGTTGTGGCTTCCTTCGCTCCCCATGTTGGAAAGGGATGTCTTTTCAAAAGAGAGTGTACGAATGGTGGAAACCAGCTTAACAAAGCTGAAGAGAGTGGGAATAAGTGTCGTTCCCACAGACGGTGCCAAATGTTGATGCACAAAATCAGTGAAGACTTTGATACAACAGAAAGTGTCAAGTTTGTGACCTTCGCTAGATTGCTCCGGTCACTAGTGTGAATAAGAATGTAAATGGATAGAGACAGGGAAGCAAACACAAGATGTACGTGGTTCACCCAGATTGGCTACGTCCACGAAGTAGACGAGTTCTCATTAATTGTGAAGGGTTTACACAAGTACATAGGTTCAAGCTCTCCTTTTGTGAGTACTAGTGAATGATTTAGTACAAATGACATTAGGAAATATTCTAGTGAATGATTTAGTACAAATGACATTAGGAAATATTGTGGGATAATGATCTTCTTTTATAGAAGAGAGTTTTTAGCTTTGTTCTGACATTGACATGTGTCGTGTTGTGATTGGCTTCCAATGTTGACTCGTGTCGCGTTATGATTGGCTTCTGATGTCCACACGTGTCGCGCTGTGATTGGCCTCCTGGTTGGAGGGAAACTCTTCTGGATCCTTGACGGTATAACGTTGACCGGTTCTCGGTAGTTTCGGGATTGGTCAAGTATGGTACAAACAAACTTTAATGAAAAGCACCCGGTACTGTTCACTTTAACGAAAAACCACATTTATGCACTAAAAAGTCAATCCTGATACTATTCACTTTACCCTTTATTTTGTCCTTATCTTTAAAACTCAAAATTTTCATACCATTTTCATTAGTTTTTCTATTAGTCATAAAACAGAAGTATCATAGAGGACTTCGGTTTATAGATTGTTGAATTATGGGAGACAGACGCCTACCGAACTACAAGCACAAAAGTAGAGACGAAATTCTATCTTTAGGATATTGCATTTATGCAAGTCTCAACCTTCAAATTTGTTAGTATTTCTTATTTTGTTTGTTGTTTACATTGATTTTATACACACTTACTGCTATAGGATATTTAGTTTGTGGTTTTTATGATTATTATTATTAGAATTCTTATTAGAATTTATATTGTTATTTTTATATTTTCTAATATTGCTCTAACAAATTCCACGATTGAAAGATTTATATACAAGATTATGCAAACTAAGCATGATGATATGACTTAGGACTAGGATCATCTCTGGATTCTTCTCTGTGGATCTCGAAATCAATTCATCATAACCGTTCACCACAAATCCTGCAATCAGACCCTGCGTAAAGCGGGAGCATTGTGCACTGGGTACGACCTTTTTATTAGTTTGCACGCACAAGTTACAATCCCGTTTCTCTCTCTTTCATCCCTCTGGTGGCCTTCCCCGTTCACCACACACCTGAAATACCTCTAATATCGCCTCCAGCATGAACTTCGCCGGATCGACATATGGGATTCCTTAATAGGAGAGAAAACTTAGGACATTTTTTCCTAAAATATTAAAAAGGAATGGAAAGAGTGTTCGAGAGATGTTGAAAGAAATGGGTGGAAGAAACAGAAGAGAGTTTTTCCCTTCTTTGTACGGCTATCATTTGACAATGTTGGCTGTAAAAACCTCATTCCTCATCCTCTCAAATCATTCATTCAGAGAAGGTGAATCATTCAAAGAGAATCCAAACAAAGCCCCACTTAGAGATAAAAGTGAGAGAGTTTGAGAGAAAACAAAGCCTCACTTGTACTTGAGGGAGAAATTCTCTCGAGAGAAAACCAAGAGTGTATCCACATTTTTGTGAGACTGTTTTATATTCTTATTATTTTAAGAGAACTTTAAAGAAACACTCGCGACTGTTTACTTTAATGAAAAACTACATTTTTACTCTAAAAAGTCAATCATGATACTATTCACTTACAACACCTTTTTATTATTTTTGTTAAAACTCAAAGTTTTTAAGTCATTTGCATTAGTTTTCCTTTATTTTAATAGTGGAAGATATTGTACTTTTTGTTAGCCCATTTTAGTGGAAGATATTGTACCTAACGAAAACTGGCCGCACGAGAACAGATAGGATGTGAGGATTCCTAGATCATCACAAAGATGATCCGGAGAAGATCCTCATCCCATTTTAATAACGCGAGTGGGAAAAGTTAAATCCTGGGACCACCAAGATTTTATCTTGGGAATCCGGATCCTTGCCGGATTCTCTTTGTGAGAATCCTGGAAATCATTGTAATCATATCTGTTCATCATAAATCGTGCAGTTAGAAATTATTTTAAATATTTTTATTTAAAATTAAATACAAATAGTATCTGACAAAAATACAATATACGATGAACGGACACAATTTACGAATCTTCAAGATCCTTACCAAAAGGATTCGGAGAGGATGCTGTTGGTTATCTTGGCTCCTATTAATTGTCATCTTTCCCGACACAAAAACAACTCAATCCAAATTTGACATGAAAGCCAATAGAAACTTTAAAAATGCACCACTTAAAAAAAAAGCATATAAATTTCAAGAATCTACCATATGAGTGAACACAACGCCCTTCCTACCTAGTAAAATAATCAATAAGAACAGTAAGCAAGCATTCAATTCAACCAAGACAAAAGGTAATTTCATCGAAGTCTTGTAATAATATTTACTTTCACTAATCACCAAGACATCCCACACTAACCATTAGGACATCCCACCACAACAACAAAATCTCATCTTGAAAACCCATCTTCCATTACATACTTTCCCCACTAGAACTACAATCACAAGCTAGCTCTTGTACCCATCTTAGATTACAAACTTTCGCCCACTAGAATTATAATCACAAGTTAACTCTTGTTTTGGTGCTATGTTCTTCTTGGAGAATAACACCATGTGTGGCATTCTCAAGTCGTCGTGATCATAGAGGATAGCTTGGCAAAATAGATTAGGACAGCTACTATGATTGACAAATCTTCCAACGTTCCCATGTTCCGCGGAACGAATAGCTAAGTCGTCATTATCTTGAACTATTTCTCCTGCATACTCGCATATAAAACTTCCCTCTTGAATAAATGAGTGTGATCTAACACCCCATCCTTTTGATTTAGTCCTGAAGACTTCAAGTCTAAAACGAATGCCATGTTGACTCACTCTGTTTTTGCAAGAAGAAGGGCACTTACACAAAGGACCACATTCATACACAAGGGCATTCTTGTTCGTTCGATGTCCATTGTTATCATACGGCAAAACTCCTCCGTTCTTCATTACACAAGAACATGGTTCAGATGCGGAGCATCCATCAAGGCAATGACAACCCCTTAGTGTGACCGCCTTGAAGAAATTTGGATAAATGATATTGCATGTGTAATTGAAAAATGGAGTACTCTCATCATCTATTTCATTGACCATACGAACAGGCATCCTCTCTTTCCCTTCAGAGATATCATTTTTATAAACACCACCCTTTGAAACTATTGGCCTCTTCGACTTGTCCAAAATTTTTCCCAATGTGAGTCGTGGTTGCCCCGAATACCTTCTCAATGAGAACTTAAAGACCATTTTACCAAATTTTTCTCTATCTTGCCAAAATTCAACCACTTTGTAGAGACCATCATAAACATACGTCGTGGAAGATCTGCTATTAGTACCCACCTCTAAACGTTTATGAATTACCCTTACAGGAGTTCCTTCTTCAATGCTATTCTTTAGTGCAAGGTTTCCACGCTCAAGTTTTTGATCCTTTGGTTCTTCACCCTTGATCATCGAATTTCCACCTTCACCTGAATATATCAAGATATCAGAAGACTCTACATGGTTACCATAACGCCCTGAATCCACAATGCTTGTGGCCACACTTTTCCCATCCTTCGTCATGTAATCAATACCATTTTGATAAGGATGATGAAGGCCAACAATAACTAGTTGAGCCCTGTATTGAAACTCATCACCAACTTCAACTCCTGGAATGGGTCCTAATTGTTTCCTTGTGTTAACACACTTTCCTTGCTCTTTATGACGCATTACGACTTCCATATGAATCTTACAACCAACATTTTTGTCGGACTTTTTAGCATATTCTTGCGAAAGCTCAGTAAATAGCTCTTGATATGCACCCAAAGCCTCCTTCACCTTGCAACGCCAGGCTACATGTACGTCATCCACGCCATGATTAATAACATCCTTCTTGAGCTTAGCATCCTTGGCCAATAAAGACGAGCACCTATCATTTGCATGTTTATTGCAATCACCACCTATTGCTGATTTGCACTCAGGAATAACATTAGCATCTGGACAATTGATTCTCAAAGAAGAAGACACCACCCTTCCACAACCTTGGGGAAAATCCCGCTCAACAGGAATACTTCTCAACATATTCCGAGGTGAGAGGCAATTGTCCATTGGTATGTTCATAACACTAGAGGACTTAGAAAATAGCCCATACACCTTATCATTCTTCTCCGTATGGCCAACAATATTTGATGATTGGTCTATGATGCCACGATCTTCAGACTTGCTTGGTAGCACCCGAGCATCAAATAACCCACATCCTATCGGGAATTCTCGAACAGCATCAACTCTTGGCCTCTTTATGGTGTAAGGAAAGCGATCGACTTTCCTTTCCCCGGTTGTTTCCAGTGTAGACATACTGAGTACCAACCTCTGTACCAAAAGATTTCCAAGAAAACCTATACACAACGTATAAAGTAGGAGCCGACCATATATTAACCAGATACAACAGCCATGGTAATTTATCTCATGTGCAAGAGATAGAGAATAATACTTAATCAACACAATATGCATAATGTTTACTTCATATTCTAAATTAGATAAAAATAATAAATATAGACAAAGAATGCTGATTAATCTAAACACAACAATACTAAATTGGTACTGGCACAAGCGTTATTTAGTTAAAAAAAAAAATTACAGAAAATATGAAAAATATTTGATAATATCAAGAACCAAAAGAAAAAAAAGAAAAAAAAAATCTCAAGAACCAAAATACCCCTGTAAAAAAAAGACCCAAATTAACCATCGGTTGGATTTCTTAAAATTCAAACCGAATTAAAGAAAAAAATAACACTGATTTTGGTTGAAAAAAATCAAACAGATTTGTATAAAATGGGGAATAAAGTAAGTGTTTGAATGCGAGTAAACGGTTTATTATACAAATTAAAAAAAAAAATCTGAGATAAACTTTGAAGAATGCAATTAATCACAAACGTTTCTTTTATTAGCAATCATCACAAACGCCGGCAGAAAAATGAAAACTAAAGGACACATTTCTCACCGCAACATATAAATTGAGAGAAAAAAAGAAGAAATTAATGGAACAAATATAAGTTGGAAAGAGCACAAAGCAAGAAATTATGAAGAGAAAATACCTGGAAGGCAGTGGAAGAGCAGAAGAAGTAGGATTGCAGTGGCACCACCCACCCTCTCTCGCTCGCCGATTCCTATTCGGTTTAGTGTGCTCTGATAAGCCCAGAAATCTCAACACTCAGACAGAGGGAGATAGAAAGGCATCCTACTGTACCGTACCGTATCGAATTCATTTATTAATTTTACTTGCCCTCCCACACCAGTCGCCGGGTTCGTGACTTAAGATTGGTTTGGTATTGCAGTTCTTTGAAAAAAAACTGCTAGGAGAATAAGCGGTTGTGTTGTGAGAATAAACGGTTGTGAAATAAATCAGCAGAGTGTTTAGTAAACTTTTTTGTAAAAGTGCTTTTGGAAAATAAAAGCAGTCTGATAGTGGATCTTTTCATTAAAGGAGCACTGTAGCTCCATGTGCTTTGAAAAAAAAACCAGTTTTCCAAAGCTGCAAATAGCAGCTTCAGCTTTTTCCTTTGATTTCAGCTTATTCTCACAACAGCTTCCAAAATAAGCCATTTTTTTCAGTTTACCAAACATCTAAAACCCTCACAGTCTTTTTTCATGGGTGCTTTTTTTTAAGCACCTCACTCCCAAACCACCCCTTAGACTTCTCAGATTTTATATGATGCTTCGGCACTCTCGGCTATAAACATGTTTCCATTTTTATTTTTTTTTGCACAAACAATATTACCTACACTAATCGGGTCAAGAAATGAACTAAGTTTTATAATGGACTAGTAATAATATGGTCCAAATTCGTTTTTTGGCGAGAATCGAATCTAAGACGTTTCACTCACAAGTGGAGATGAATATCGCTAAACCGTAGTACTAAGTGGCATGTTTTGAAATTTTTAACAGTTAGATACTTGTTTAAATTTTCTAAATTAAAACTTAACTATTAAAATGATTTTCATACTACGTATCATTTAATATTACATGTGTTTTAACTGGTATATTTGATTTTCACAAATGTTTAGATTTTCTATTTTAATATCAGCTATCATTTTTCGTATCATTCAATACTAAGAAGTTTTTTTTTTTTAAAAATCAATAAAACTTTTGGAGTATCTCATATTTAGGGCTGGTTACAAAAAAACTGAACCGATAATTTCCATGAAGGCAAAAAATAATCTAAACCGAACCCATTTTATCGGTTTACTGAAAATCGAGAAAACTTAAAAAAATTCATTATTTGATCGAGTCATGTTAACCAATTTTTGCATGTTCCTTGATCGTCACAGTAAATCCAGTGCCCCAAGACGATAGCCATTTCTCTAGATCCGGTGTCGAATCTCATCTGAGGCAGGTGGTGTCGCCAGCCTTTCAATCAAAAGCCGAATTCGATGTACAAATTCCTAAAATTAAAATTAAAATATCAAATCTCTAATCTTAATAATATGCAATATCCTACCTTGAACGTCAAAGAGAGATTACACATGTGTGGTCGACGACGAGATGATAGAGAGGTTGGTGGTGGGTAATGACGCCGTAGAGGAAAAACAGAGAGGGTCGAAAGGATATATAGAGAGAGAGAGGGGGAGAGGGTTGATGGTGTGGTGTGGCCAGAGAAGTTGCAAACTGAGTCGATAGAAGGTGTAGGAGTCAATAGAGAGGAAAGTGAAACTGAGTTAACACCTAAGAGAAAGAATTGATTTTAAACTGAGAATTGAGATTCAATTTCACTCAAATCATACATATAACATTAATCATTTAATAAAAACAATAAAAGATATTTTATGTTTGGTTCTATTTTACCAAACAAACACTTCATGGAAACTAAATACCATACTGACATTTTCGGTAAGTTTTGAGTTTAGTTATCGAACGATTTAGGATTATCAGGTTCAATTTTCCAAGCTCGAGTTTGGTATGGTTAGGTCCGGGTTATTTTTTGGATGGTGTTATCTATACACCGATTTTAAGACCATGTATAGGGTTGATGCCTGCCTAGTGTCGGAATGTCGAGGAAGTTGGTGACCTGATGACAGGCGACCCAGCGACCGAAGAATATCAACTCGCATGAAAGGCGTAACGATTTGGGCAGTGTCTCAAAGAGAGGCTAGGTGAAACTACTTTGGCTCTCTAATATTTCTCTAAATTTTCAGTCAAATCGAATGCATTGAAGAATATCAAAAGACAAAAATTAACAAACGTATGTGAAAAAGAAAAAGAAAAATGTGACTAGTACTACCTATTTTTTTCAGCCATCCAAATCACCATAAAAATTTTGTTTTATTGATTGCTGCGTGACTCTTCTTCGAGGAAAAGTATGTCTTTTTCATTGAATTTGAACTCAAATGTCACCCTCTTCAATGCCACCAGCTAGAGAAAACAGTCCTCTTTTGTTATGGAAAAGACAACAGTCCTTGATTAGGAAAGAAAATCCTAGAATCTAGGGGACCACAAAATCACAATATTATTTATTAGACGTCAACCAAAGCCAAGAATAAAGTGGACCCGCAACATCCCATTAACCTATTTTGGATACAAGTCTTATATTGATGCACAACTTTTTTCCAAAATTGGCACTACATATTCTTTACGTTTCTCACTTCCATTCTTAGTTTGAAAGCAATTTACATATAAAGAGAACACCACTACCGTGACGTTGCAATTTAATAATTCAATATTATGAAAAGGAAAATTACTTATTTGAATAGGTTTACAGCTGTTAATGTGTTCATTTTCAATAAATAATGACATGTGTAAGTTTTTAACACATGACATTGCATTATTAGATCAATATGTCACGTGGTGCATAATGTATTTTATTTAAGTTCTCATGATAAGAGAAAACCTCATACCAAAATCGAAACGATAATTTCGGTAACAGAAAAAAAATAACTAAAATCGAACCCTTATTTTTGATTTACTGAAAGTCAAGAAAATCGAAAACAAATTTAGTATTCGGTTGGCTCAGGTAAACTGATTTTTACATGTTCCCTACCCAGCAACACAATCCACTACTCCAAGATGTTAGCCATTTCTCTAAATTCGACATTGAATCTCGTCTGAGGAAGGTGGTGCCCCAACCCTTCAATCGAAAAGCCCTAATTCAATTTGTAAATTCCTATCTTAATAATATGCAATATCGTACCTTGAACGCTGGAGAGAGCACACATGTGTGTATGTGTGGTTGATGGCGAAATGGTAGAAGAGTTGGTGGTGGGGAACGACGCCGGAGAGGAGGAAGATAGGGTCGAAGGTATATAGAAATAGAGTTGAGGGTGGTGTGGCATGGTATGGTGTTGCCAGAGAAGTTACAAACTGAGTTGAGAGACGGAGAGGAAGCGTCGAAGTTGAGAGGACGGAGAGTGAAACTGAGTAAAGACCAAAGAGAGAGAGTTGATTTTAAACCGACGGTTGAGTATCAATTTCAACCAGGTCCAACAGTTAATATTAATTCATTTAATAATAATAATAAAAGATATTTTCAGTTCGGTTCTGTCTTATCGAGCAACCCTTCATGGAAATCAATCAAATACTACAATGACATTTTCATTAATTCGATTTCAGTTACCGAACGATTTGGACTATCAGGTTCAACTTTTTAGGTCGAGTTCAATATGGTTAGGTTCGAGTTCATATTTATTTTTTTTTGGGGCTCTTTTTTCAGCCATCCAAATCACCCCCTTCAATTCCACCACCAACTGTAGAAAATAGTCCTTGACTAGGAAAGAAAAAGAAAAACCTAACCTAGGGGACCACACAATCACAATACCATTATTATTAGACGTCAACCAAAGTCAAGAATAAAGTTGACCCATAGCTTTTTTCCAGTTGGATAACAGTAACTTGACACCAGTTATCCTTTTCTAAAAAAAAAAAAAACAACTCTATAGACTTTTTGTTACTCACAGTTTAACATTAATTTCCGTGCTAACATTATAAAATATTATGTCAAAAACTTGAGGAGACAAAGCCACTTAATACTACGGTCTAGTAATATTCATCTTCACTTGTAAGCGAGAGGTCTTAAATTCGATTCTTGCCAAATGAGAATTTAAACCACATTATTGCTAGCTCATTATGAGGCTTAGCCCAATCCACTACCATTTAGTGTAAATAATATCGTTTGTTAAAAAAATATATATACCTGAGAAGACAGAGAATCTGAGTCCCACTTTTAAGAATAGCACTTCTCTTCAATATTTGGACTTGGCCCCCATGAAATTTGTTTGTACCATACTTAGGGCCTCCGTATTTATATCTCGTATTAATACTCGGGGGACTCAAATGTAATTATGTAATAAAGGAATGGGCAAATATGTAATAAGTAAGGAGCCTTTATTCTATAAAAGAGACTCCTCACCCTCACAATAGGAGGAGGTCTCTCATCCCCTAAACAGAGGCCAATTCTTAGGCCTAACGCCCACCTTAAGAAGCTTCACTCTCCTATTCAGAGGCTCTCTCTCCCTCACAAAGAAATACAATAATCAATGTGGACGTAGCCCAAACATTGGGGTGAACCACGATACATCTTGTGTTATTTATTTTCTTGCAGATTCACAGTCAGATTTACCTTGTTCCAAGACCCCTCCGGTTTTGTGCATCAACATTTGGCGCCGTCTGTGGGAATCGACACGAAAAACTATGTCGGTTCTCTTTCGTTTTTTCACCTCCATCGTGAATCTGCAAAAACCCAAGAACCCCAAGCTTTCCTAAAAAACCCAGAACAGAAAAAGACCAATTTCCCTTCTCTCTCTCTCTTTCTCTCTCTAAAATTTCAAAACACCAGAAGTGAGCTGCTGCTACCGTCGTTGTATACATATAAATGTATCCCATAAACTCATCCTCCTCGCCTCAAAAGCCCATGGCCTCGAGACCAAGCACAACGGGCCTGACCCACTACGGCTCCGCCCCAGGATCCCTCCTAAACTCAGTCGTGAACTCCGTCATGGAAGCCGCCGCCGACCGTGAATTCTCATCCCTCCAACCGCAGCATTTACGAGGCCACTACTTCTCCAGAGAAGGTGGCGGCGACTCTCCCTCCCTCACTAGCTCCGAGTCCAGCTTCAAAGTCAACTCATCCAACTGCAGCCACATGGGCACCAGCATCACCAAGCCATTGCTCCAATCGCACGCTTTGAACGAGATTGGATCTTTCAACTCTTTTTCTAGTTATTTGACGTCGTCGGCGGCTCTGGTTCACCAGCGAATCTCTCCAGCTGGCTTCTTCAACCATC